TGGGTATGGGCGGCTGTGAGTGTCGTCCAAGACTTCTTCTACACCCACACACACCCACACACCCTCACCCACACCCACACCCACACCCACACCCACACCCACACCCACACCCACACCCACAGCCATATGTACATATATATATGAACAAGCCGAGATCTTTTCATCATTTTTTCTGAGACAAATTGCTTTTTTCCATTTTTTTTCTCAAAAACTTGATAATGAGTTAATTTGATTTCAAAGGACTAGAGAATTTAAAAAACGAAACTCAGTATAATTCGTTGGCAGTCAAGTTTTGATGAAAAATGAATCAAAGTCTTATTCTCATGTTATGTGATAATATAAGATTTTACAAATTGCGCGAAATTGTTTCTAATTAAAGTATTCGTATCGAAAAAGTATTTTAGAATACAAAAAAAAATAGATGATTTGTAAATTCATCTGGAATCGTAGAAATAATCTTGTTTGTAAAATATTTGGTTAAACAATTCATGTAGTTGAGTATAATTTTGTTTCGATTATCCCCGTTATAATTATTGATTCTATAGCTTAAAACAAAAAAACTAATGAAAACTAAAAGATTCAATTGAGACACACTACATAGAAAATTAAGTTTTCAATCACATCATTTTAATCGAGAGCAGCACGAAACTCATCCATGGAGAAGTTAGGATCACTCTTACGACCTGCAGGTACTGCTATCTCCTTATGTCCCATAACATGCGAAGTAGGAACATTAAAGGCATTTTTGAGGGTTCGAACGCCACATACATAACTTTGCCATTGCACTTCAGGCCAATATGCATGCCCAACATCAGTTGATGGAATACCAGCGCCTTCAGCTTCAATACCGATAGCATTTATGTTTCCGAAAATAGAGTCATCAATGGTTTTACCAGCATGATAAGAACGACCTGCTGCAATGACATACCATTTTCCCGTACGGCCTAGTCCAAGCTGTGAAAGTGGACCAGCAAGATCCGCTCGGCCATCTCGAACAATGTGTAATGAAGGAAAATCATCAGTAGCTGGACCAGCCGTATGATGGACGATAATACTTTTTACAGAATTCATCTTTCCATGACCACGTGTCTTCCAGCCATCAACTTCGACGACAGTGAGATCTACTTTACGAAGAATATCAGCCAAATCTGTCAACATTGTCTTTGTTTGTTCAGAAGTATTCGCAGAAAAGAAATATTGATGTCGTGCGCAATGTATATGTATCTGAAATAAAACAGATAATTTTGACGAAAATATTAAACTGAACATCTTATATGTTCTGACAATAGTGATGATTGAATGAATGATTTATAAAAAAATCTTATTTATTTATATAGAGCAATATAATCAATTGGTTTTAAGAAACACCAATAGGTATTCATGCTGAGCTATTTGAAAAAGAAAACACGACATCGGAATGAAAGGCAAAATAGATTGTAGACATTTTATCCATTGATCGACATGATTTTGATAAACAATGATGTTCACAGCATGAAATTAAAAATATATTTATGAAAAAAAGAAAAGCTTGTTCATGAGAAAATAAGGCAACTGTATTTGCATTGTCGTCACCACATGTTTTGTATGATTTCTTTTTCCTACTTCTATGAACTGTGTACACACTAACAAAGAAAATCAAATTCTGATTCATCGAGTGAAGCTTTGAAAGTGTTATATCTTCGACTTCTGATCGTATATAATCGATGACAGCAAATATACTTTCTCTGTTTTTTTTTCTTTTTGGTGATGTAATGTTTTTATGTATTGCACCAATAAATAGCTATTAGTAATAAAAGAAAATTCCCATCACAAAAAACCGTATGTCAGCATGATAGTATTCTTGTTTTGACCCTTAATATTACTTACCACTGATAATTTGCTTTATGATTTCTTCTGGAAACGTCGATAAAAAAAACAAGAAGATTTTTCTGAGAGAAATCTAAAATACCACTAAATCTCAACTAAAATCATACTTTTGTTATGACATTTTATTTCTTTACATCCAAATTTATATATCCGAAACTGTAAGGTCTTTTTTACATCCCTTTCTGTACGCCTTTTCTGTACGTCCCTTTCTATACGTCATTTTGTACGTACTTCCTATACGCCCATTCAATACCTTCGAATCTGTCATACATGTCAAACCTGAGAGTTGATTTTAATTATACAAAAGCTAAAAGTAAATTTGCCCGTGTAATTAACTTTTTGTATCTACTTTGAGGTGTGAGAATGCATAATACCCATTGAAGAGCTGCAACTCATAGTTGTTTCTATGCACACATGAAAGTCTATCCTTATTTGATATTTTGATATCACTGAAAAGAACACATGTACTTTCGGACGTATAGGAAAAACGTAACTCGAAACGCGGACCAGGAGAGAAATTATTTACTCTGTCGTATATAGTATGTATTCAAATTTTAAATTGGTATTACTTTTCTTTGATTGTTTCAAGAGTTGTTACGTAATCATGTTGGATTGCATTCTTTGTATTATATCTTTTCACAGTATGCACAATGAATAAGAAAGAAATAAAAATTTTAACAAAATCATTTTCGTTTTTCTTTCATCACACTTGTGTCACTCAATATGATAAATACAGGATCAGTTATATTTGCACAAGAATTTTCAAATATTCACAGTAAATAGCTATAATTTGATACTTTAAATGCATATCAACAACGAACAGTACTTGCTAACATAAAAGAAAAATGTTTACTGAGTTGCTTTTTGAAAAAGATAACCGTTGATAGTTATCACAACAAACAACAGATTTCGATGCTCAATCTGTGTCGAGATGAAATTCTAAGAACGATAATTTCGTACATTAGGAGACATTTTTGTTGATACTGATTGACATCGAACTTTAAATTATTTAAATGAATTATTTTTATGAATATTAATTATTTTATTCTGTTTCCTTAATCTATAGAATAATTTTCAATAGAAATTCAATCTAACTTAACATCAGTACCATTTTTAGAAACCTATGAACAAATAAAATTGATAAGATTAGTATAGCTTATTCTATCTTTATGCAAAATTTTCCATTTATCTATAGACAAAATTCATATAGTAGATGTATACTTTTCACCAAATTTTATATTCAATAGCATATTCCAATAAAATAAAGGAAAAGTAGCAGTATTCAATCAAATCATTTCAAACAAGAGCTGCACGAAACTCATCCATAGAAAAGTTGGGATCCTGTTTACGTCCAGCAGGTACAGCTGCCTCCTTGTGTCCTAATACACGTGAAGTTGGCACATCATAGGCTATTTGCAGAGCTCTGACAGGGTGTGGGTGTGGGTGTGGGTGAGGTGTGTGGTGGGTGTAGGTGTGGGGTGTGGGTGTGGTGGGTCTGGGTGTGGGTGTGGGTGTGGTTGGATGAACAGATAAGACCAAAACTTACACCCACACCCACACACACCCACAACCACACACACCCACACTCACACACACACACACACGCACACCCTCACCCACACCCACACACCCACACCCCACACACCCACACCCACACCCTTTGTTGTTGTGCTACGACGAGTTATTGAAGTCGATTTCATCTTGCAACATTGAAGATTCGTTGCACTAGGACAAAGGCCATCATAGGACACTCCACCTTTAGCTGAGCAGCTTGCTGCATCCATATAAGTCGTGCTAAAAGAAATTGTAGTCAATCCTAAGACGAATAATAATAATCATCTAACCATGAACAACATTGAGTATTGTTAGTACCAATACAAAGACCTGATTGAGAAATTCCACCCATGGCGGTGCACGTACTAGTATCCATACAAGCTTTCAAAGACCAGCATTGCACGCAGAAAGTAGTTCGAATGTAGATGAAGGAGACGCAGGTTATAGAAGTCAAGAAACCAATAGCAACCATGTTTTCAATATGAAAAATGACAAAGATCAGATGATTAATAGATCTATGACAGTTCGTGATTGAATTACTGAATTGACGTCATTCATCCTGTTTTTCGTAAGAGAACTGGAGCTGGTAACCAGTTCTTTTCAAAAAAGTTGAACTGTTCAAACAAATCAGTTATAGACTTGTGACAGTTCCCACCTCTGTGGATCAGCTCTGCCTTGATAACTGGATATAGTGACTAGTTCTTTGTTTTTGGCAACCAGAATACTTACTGAATATGAATTGCTACATTATTGTTATCAGTAGACGTTAGAGTCCTGCTCCGAGTCTTTCTCAGAGTCACCTTCGGAATCAATTAAATTTTTTGCCGAAAATTTACTTTTAGCATATGACCGTTTTTGACTCGGAGGTTTTCTTTTTGATATATAATGCATAAACTGATGCATTTTCGAGGTTTCAACAATATCCTATCAAGGTCTATGAACATGAAAAAAAGTCGGAGTCAAATCCAACTCCGATTTTTTTTGACTCCAAATTTCTTTCACATCCATAGACCTTGATAAGATATCATTGAAACCTAAAACATGCATAAGTTTAATGCATTAAATATCAGAGAAAAAAATCTGCAAGACAAAATAGTTCTTACGCTAAAACTAAATGTTCAGTAAAAGATTTAATTGACTTCCACGGCAACTCTGAAAACGACTCTGTGCAGGTCTCTAGTAGACATGCTCCGTATGTCAAAAGCTGATCATTTAGATCAATTTTCGAAAAAAAATCGTTCATAGAACTGTAAACTGTTAAAGATCTAATCAGTGATCTGTTTAAGATTTGTTTATCTAAAAAAATTGACATAATGTCTTATATACAGATCTGAATTAATAGTAGGCTTAATGAAATACTATATATATTTGAATAAAAGACACGCATATAATGAGAGCTCTCATGGGAAAGTTATATGAATATTTGAACATTTCTTCCAAGCTTTAGCAATGAAGTAATGATTTCGGTTCTTAAAACGTAGGAAATGCGTCATGGGTGTAATATATGCGCATTGAGAACGAAAAACATGAGGTTAAAACCAGTGGCGTAGCCAGGAATTTTCTAAGGGTGGAGGGGTGGGCCAACTTATTCTGGGGAGTGCACACCGGAAGCAAAATACATTTTTGCTTCTCGGAAAGATTTTTCACTCGTATACCTCCTCAAATATTTCTTGGCCAAGAGGAGTGCCTGAGCAGCCTGTGCATCCTCCCTCGCTACGCCCTTGGTTAAAACGAGGAAGCTCTTAACGAAAAATGATTTATTTTTCTTTCATGAATAGTGCATAAAATTTACATAAAAAAATGATTAACGAAATGAAGCCTTAAGTAAATTGTTATGCATATACATGTACAATTAAAAATTGAGCACAATAATTATTAAGTAAGATAATAATTTTAAAAAAGTCCAATTCAAATCAATTTCTATTTATCAATTGTAAGCACTAATTATTAGTTCGATTTTGATCGAACGAACTAATAATACCATCATTACACACCTCTGTCATGAATACAGATGGAAAATTATTCACATTCAAAGCTTATCCAATAAAAGGAACTAATTTTTTCAGGCAATAATAATCGTAGATGCATATTATATCCAAATTAGTTTCTCGAGTGCTGTTTTGCATCGAATAAATGATTAGCTGTAAAATGAGCGAATAGCATAAAAAAACAATACACAAATGAATGAATTCACTATCAGACTGAGTTTCGCCAATTCCTAGAATTAAAATTGACGAGACGTAATGATTGATGATGTCACCAACATTCAAGAAAAACTTCGCTTGACATAACTAATATAGTTAACAATTCAAGTGTCAACAAAAGAAACAAACTTATCTCTACGTCATCATATTATAAATTTTGTTTCTGGTCAACAGAAATATTTTTAATAAATTAATGTGTAGAATAAAATCAGAAGAAAAATGAAAGTAACAGTTTACTGAGTTTTTGTGAGAATTATCGAAATCAAAATAAATGCGTGGAAAGGTAGCTCAATGTTTAGTCTTTCATAAACGGAATGATTTTTTTATTTCTTATATAAGTTTTTTAAAAGTTGTTTTTTTGATAATTTCTGTCATCATTTACTTGAGATATATTGGGTTTTCAGAAATGGCAGGAGACATTTTTCATTTTTTTCTATTTATGTTTTTTTGATTGCGCATTTCAAAACTCTTGACGAAGCTTCATTCTAATCAATTGCTCTTTTTTTTGTTTGAAAAAGTATCTCAATATGCAGG